TCTGGGACCCGAGTCCCAAGAGTCCCAAGGGATTGGCGGCGGCGGGTCAGTCAGCCAATGGCGTCCCGAGTCCGTTCGTCATCGGTTGCTGGGTAGAATACGCAGAAACTGCATAAACAGCAAACAGCCATAACTGCGAATTGCTTTTTGAGATGATCTGGCCTTTTAGTTCCTTTTCCTTCCTTTTTTAAAAATGATGTGTTTATTGATTTTGGAGAGGAAGGGAGAAGGAGAGAGAGAGGCGGGTCAGTCAGCCAATGGCGTCCCGAGTCCGTTCGTCATCGGTTGCTGGGTAGAATACGCAGAAACTGCATAAACAGCAAACAGCCATAACTGCGAATTGCTTTTTGAGATGATCTGGCCTTTTAGTTCCTTTTCCTTCCTTTTTTAAAAATGATGTGTTTATTGATTTTGGAGAGGAAGGGAGAAGGAGAGAGAGAGAAACATGGAGAGAGAATCACTGACCGGGTGCCCCCTGGACGCCCCCCACCAGAGATGGAACCCCGACCTCCTGGTTCACAGGTTGACCCTCAACCACTAGCCGGGCCCTTTTCCTTTCCTTCGAGGAATGTAATTTATGCTTCAGTCTTGCCATACCCTGCGGGCTGTGGCGTCGCTGCTATGAAGACGGGGGCCTGTGTACACGTGTGTGTGGTTGGGGTTGGAGGTGGGCAGGGGTTGAGGTGAATGTCAGCATCCTCTTCCCAAAGCCACCGAATCTCTTTAGAGCAGCTGGGCTGGTGGGGCTCCGGAGGTGGTGGTGGGGGAGGCTCCGGAAAGGGCTGGGGGTAGAGGACAGAGCCAGCAGCTGCTATGGAGACCTGGTGACTCTCGGGAAACCATGGGGACGGGAAGAGGTGTGAGAGGAGGAAGCCCTCTCTTTCCCTGGGGAGGTGGCACCCGGTCGCAGATCACAGCAGCCAGCACAGGCTCTCGCCTGCCAGTGGATGGTCTCGAAACCATGGGGACGGGAAGAGGCGTGAGAGGAGGAAGCCCTCTCTCTCCCTGGGGAGGTGGCACCCGTGTCGCAGGACCATGGCAGCCAGCAAAGGCTCCCACCTGCCAGTGGATGGTCTGGTGGGCCCAGCACCCCCACACCCACCTGATGCTCCTTCCTGGGCCCACAGAACCCAATCAGGCCACTGTGTACATTTCTTATAGAATAACCTTCCCAAGGCACATTTCATAACATTCCCCACCTGTGCATAAATGCTTTCCCGGGAGACCGATAATTTCCTTCTAAATTCGACACCGCAGTCAGCACACGAGCAATAGTCCCACTAGTTGTTATTCCAGGACTGGACTCTGGTTCCCATTCCATTCCCTTCACCTGAATTGTTCCCTCACATCTGCCTCCTGGGAAAACAACTCCAGATGCTCCCAGCCTGGAGTGTTCCCAGCTTCCTCTGCCAGCCAGCAAGGAATGGCAACCTGGGTCCCACCACTGCAGGAAACTCAGTTCTGCCAACAATAAGAATTAGCAAGAAACAGACTGTTCCCTGGACCCTCCAGAAAGGAGCCAGCCTGCAGACACCTGGATGTCAGTCTGGCCAGAGCCACACTGGACTTCCCACCTACAGACATGTGAAGTAAGGAATCTGTGTTACATTAGGTCATGAAATTTGTGGTTTTTATTACAGCAGCTTACAAAGCTAATACAATAAGGATTTTGTGAAAATGTGGTGGGTAAACTGTGGGGGTGAAAATCTAGAAGAAGCTCAGTTGAAGTGTGAAGACCATTAACCAATTTATTTAACAAATGTAACCTGACCACCACCTGCCGGGTGGAGGGGACACAGTGGTGACCAATCACAGTGATGGTGATGGAGTGGCTTTTCCCAGGACCCAGCAGTTACAGGAACCTCCGGGAACATGGACACATACTCAGCATGGAATGTCCTTTCCTGGAGATGGGGCCACAATGTGATAAAACTTCCACTGCAGTTCACCTGACTCCCTTCCCCCAAATTCATGCCTCACAATGAGCTTTAGGGATGAAGCTGGAGGGGGCCACCTCACAGGGGTGTTGTGAGGATTGGTGAGTGAGATTCCCCTGAAGCACTGAGCCCAGCACCCACCACATTCTAAGTTATCTGTGAACTGAGCTATGGCTGCAGGAAGGGAGCTGAGTCACCTTTGGAAAGTTAACTCCCTGCACCCTGGTCTCCTCATCTGTCATGTGGAAAAGTTGAAAGATAACTAGTAAAGTGCTTTACTCAGTGAGTTTTTAGTAAGTATGTTCCTGATGCGAGGTTTTGCTGTTAAGCAGGCCCTCAGCTCAGGGCTGGGCAGAGAGAAGCAAAGACATTACTTCCTCCTGAGAGTCCGCATTTCCATCAGCTGAGCCTGAGGCCACTGGGGTCTCCAGGGAAGGGTCAGGCAGTGGGTCAGGCAGAAGGGAACTCCCCACTCATTTTGGTGCTGGGCAAATGGTCAAGGCAGTGGGCTCCTCTGAGAAAAGCCTGAAAAGAGGCAAGAGAGGCCCGGAGAAGGAACCCTGTGAAAAGGTGTAGATGTGCAATCCATCGATGGCATCATAGAACGAGACCTCCCCCATCTCATAGTCCAGGAAAACCCCCACTCTTTTAGGAGGGTTGGCAATTGTGAGTTTGGTCCGGGGATCCGTTCGAGCCTGGAATTCATGCCCAGTCAACACTGCTATTGTCCAGAATCCATTCTGGGGTGTCATTGTAGGATAAAGTTTTCTCTCCACATTCTCCCTGCACACCCCGAATTGCCACTGTTTCCTGTCCCCCACCTCCACCTCCCAGAAGTGTCTCTCTGACGTGAAGTTCTCACGGCCCAGCACACAATAATGATCCTGAAATCTCCTGGGGTTGTCTGGTAGGCTCTGCCTTGCATCTGTATAGTTCAGAGTCCTCTGGTCCTCAGAAATAAGGAGTTTGGGGTGCGCAGTGTCTGGATCCAGAATCACGTCCGCTGCAGAGAGTTCCAATTGTGTGGGATCAGTCATGGTTTCCAGATCTGAGAGCCCCAGGCTCCAAGGCTTGGGTCTGGCTGGTGAGACCTGAGCCCAGAGCCTGGGGTCCCAGCTGCCCTGAGTGTGACCCTCAGCAAAGCCAAGAGAAACCACAGGGCCTGGTGTTCAGTGAGGAGGGGAGGGTGAGGAGGGCTGGCGTCTGCCTAACCCGCCATCTCAAGTGGCACCTTCCTTCTATCTTCCTCCTGTTTCCTCCCCAGAAGGACTGTGCCCACCTGTGCTGCAGAGTCACATGGATTCCAATTCCAGCCATTGCTCTGCTCTCCTGAGCTGGACAACTTCCTTTTCTGCACGGTCTCTTCTCTCTCTCGCTCGCTCTCTCTCTCTCTCTCTTTCTCTCTCTCTCTCTCTCTCTCTCTCTCTCTCTCTCTCACACACACACACACACACACGGAGACGCTCTAACAGAGCAGCCTCCTCTCAGGCAGCCTCTCCCTGAGCCACAGCCTCCTCAGGGCTCCAGGGACTGCTCCCTGTCCCTCTGCCTTGGGCCTGGGGGTGGTGGCAGCTCCCACTGCTGTGGGCCTGGGGCACTGCTCTTCCTTGTGGTTTCCCTTAATGCCATCCCTGCCTCTGGAGGTAGGTCCTTCCCTAAACCCTCTGTAATCACTGGGTAGATGTGGCTGAATCAAACCAACTCCATCTCTGTGTCTCTGATTTCCTTCATCTCTTCATGCTGTGACCTTTGCCCAACCTCCCTGTCCTTAGCAGGCACACCAAAGCCTTCAGGGTGATGATGATGTGCGTTCCTTAAAATGTAGCCATAAACAGTTCTGTTAGTAACACTAGAACGACATGACAAGGAGGTCAACACCTAATGTGATGGTATCGATTATAAAGAACCTTCCATCACAAGACCCCCAGGAGGTAAGCTGATGCTACCACACTGTCTCTTTGTCCTGTCAACCATTAGTACCAGAGTTGTGTGTTTAAAAAAAAGTACTCTAACAGGTCCATTAGTGGTGAATAGTCTGTGCAGACTGACACATAGTCTGTCTGTTCCAGCCCGACACCCCTGTGAGTAAATGACTCTATAATACAGTCTGTTATAATGTAAGGAGTTGCCTACATCACTTTTAGGTCTTAAGAACCTTCTCTTGACTGTGGTCATTACCGTCAGATGCACACCCATCATGAAAAGACCATGGCTTCCCTCTTGGAGTTTTGACCAACACACACTCATTGCCTCATCTAGTCTCACCTCCACCTTCACATAGTAGGAATGACCACCATCATCTCAAAGGGACTCAGAGACATGGCACACCTTGAGGAGGCTCAGGGCAGGAGGGGCAGCAGTTGGGCCAGGTCACCTCCTCCCTCTCCCTCCAGCCCCTGTCCCCAGCTCCACCCCTCGTGCCTCCTCCTTCCCCCACTGACCTGGGGAAGCCAGGGCAGCAGCTGTCCCTGGCACTCTTAGCAGCAGATGGGAACACTGTGGGGAGCTCATGTAACCCACCCAAAAGTCTCCCAGTCAAGAGCTGGAGAAGAAAGAGGGAGCCAGGCCCCTG